AAAAAAAAAAAAAAAAAAAAAAAAAAAAAAGTTCTTCTAAAAAATACTTTGTCTGTTTATTTGTTTATTTCTATAAAAGAGTAACAACTGTTTTCTTTTTTAAAAAGTTTATATTACTATTTATCTTAATGACATGTTTTGGATAAGGGTATCCATGTTTATATTTTTCTTCCACATCACTTTTTTTCTTTTGAGTTGGAGTCTCACACTGTCACCCAGACTGGAGTGCAGTTGCACGCTCCCAACCACTGCAGCCTCGACCTGCTGGGCTCTAGCAATCCTTTGGCCTCAACCTTCCAAGTAGCTGGAACTATAGGTGCATGCTACCATGCATGGCTAATTTTTTATTTATTGTAGAGATGAAGTCCCGCAAAGTTGCCCGGGTGGGTCTCGAACCTGTGGGTTTAGGCAATTCAATCTCAGCCTCCCAAAGTGGTGGGATTACAGGCTGAACTACAGAGCCCGGCCTCACATCACTTTTTTTTCGCACCTAAGCATTTCCTTTAAGTCTTGTTGTCACTCCTTTGGAAACTATTTGTTTATTTTTCTCACTGCCTGCTTTAAATATTCCCTTTGTCTTTGGTGTGCCACTCTTCCATCATAACGTGATAAGTATATATTTATTTTGTTTATCTTACTTGCTGTATACATTGTGATTGGTGCATCTGCAGATGCACATTTTTGTCAATTCTGGAAATTCCTTGACTTTATCTCTTCAGATATTACCTCTCACCTATTTTCTCTATGATATTTTTCAAAAACTCTGACGAAACGTTAATAGCTTTTCATTTTCTTATCTTCCACATCTTTAGCTTCTCTATCCTAATTTTTATTTATTTACTTTTGTGTGCCCTTCTGTACTTTCTTATTCACGTCTATATGCTCAGGTAACTCCCCTGTATCTGTTCTCTTATTTAGTCCATACACTGAGCTTTTAATTTTAGTGATTATAATTCTAATTTCTGAGATTCTCATTTTTCTTTTTCAACTAGACCTGGACATCTTGGTAGTTGCTGTCCTGTTTGTTTTTAATTCTATCTTTTTTATTTTTTTAATTGTAAAGATGAGGTTTTGCCAAGTTGCCCAGGCGGTCTCGAAGCCATTGTCTCAGGCAATGCACTCACCTCAGCCTCGCAAAGAGCTGGGATTACAGGTTGAGCCACTGAGCCCAGCTATCTTAATTATTTTAAATGCTTATACCTGATTCATATTCTAATCTGTATATTTTTACTACAATTCCCAAAGTTCTTGAAAGTCTGAATCTGCTATATTGCTTTTCCTAACCATTTATTCCTTTAGTATTTCTTTTATTTTCTTGTGTTTATTCATATTTTTATTATGAGTTCACAAAGGTCAAATTGAGAAGAAAAATGAATAAAATAAAAAATGTAAAGAGATGGTCTAGGCATCTCACACCTCTTCAGATTACCCATATGCCATTATCTCAGTTGTTAATTCAAGATAAATTTTAATTATATATGTTGCTTCCTTTTTATAAACTGACTCACTAGAGGAACATATTAGCATCTTAGTGGATATTACAATATAAATAACCTAGAAAGATGCTTTATAACATTTTAAAGATATATCCATATGTTCTTTCAGGATTTCTTTCCACTACAAAACTTTATATAATTGCGAGATGAAATCTTTCTTAAACACCTGGCAATCTTTTTAAAGATTTACTTTTATCATGCTAATTCTTTCATTCAAATTGTTCATCAATTATTTATTACTTAATTCATAGTTAAAGAATAAATGCTATTGGTTATTAGTCTCTGTTCTGCTCTTATTTTATGAATCACTTACATTTTTTTAGATCCATGTATCTGCACCTTTTGATTTAAGTATAGGTTAACATTAATTGTTAGTTTAGTATTATGCTGTACATAAATCAAAACCAGAAGTTTTCTCCATTTTTTAATTATCATCTGGTTAGTTTTTATATTGAGAAAATAAAAATACAGAAAAGCACAACACTTTGTATTATAATAAAATATCATGTAATTTTTCTATGAAGAAGTGTGAAATGATATTAATTCTTGCTTTGGCTGCATTGACTATGTCTCAGAAAGGTAAATTGATCACTTTCTTAAACAATATAGAAAGATAAAAAATTCCTAACCTTAGATAGTTTTTAAACTACTTAGTATCAAAGCAGATGAAATGAAGAAGAATGAAATTGTATATAAAATTTTGCACTGCAGGGCAACCCCCTTGCCCCCCCCCCCCCCCCCACTGTGGGAGCTTTTCTGTCCTCTCAATAAATCTTGCTTTAAAAAAATTTTTTGCACTGCAGAAAACTCATAGTTATTTCATACCTAGTGTTGTAAGGAATTTCAAATTCAGTCCTGAAGATAACATGAATCATAATTGTGTGCAAAATAGTGTAAGTGGTATAATAGCATATGGAATACAAAAACACACAGCAACATGTATACCACAAGATCACAGAGGAAGGAGAAAACACTTTTTAGCTTGAAAATCCATGAAGTTATTCTATGAGAGTTCTGGGCCTAATTTCAATAGATAAGAATGGGATAAATGATTTCCTGGTAGAGAGAAGATGGTGGACTGTGACTTAAGAGCTCAGGATGTGATTCTGACAACAGGGAAGAGTTTCAGAACAGATGGATAATATGGTTTATAGGGCACTATAGAATAGACTTACTAATTTTAGAAGCTGGAGAGTGAACAGCATCATAGTAACTGCCTTAGCAGAACAGAAGAGATATTATCAACCCTATTCACTCTACAGAAACCTGGAGAGGTCCTGGAACATAGTACTGGAAGGAATCTACATATAACAGCCCTTTTAACCTCATGAATTATTTTTCTATCTCAAGCCAAGGAAATAGCATTTTCTCTTTCTAAGGGCTGAATTTATCTACAATAAAATCTACCTCATTTGTTTGAGTGAAGTTACAGTTTGTATCTTAAAAGATTATGAAATTAAGTGTTGTCATATAGCCCAACACCATCTAAAGCTCCTCTAAAGGGATAGGAGTGCCAGAGAACTTCCATGGCACTCATATGGTTATGCTAAAGAAGCCTGCACACCTTCAGGCTTAAGTACTCCAAGGCTTACCCCATTGATGAGGCCTTCACAACTCGGGTTTAATATCTAATGATGCCATGGGCAAGACGTATTTGTATTTAACAGCTACTCACTGCAGCTATTTACCGAAGTTCCGCAAATGGAAAGATAGCCAATTCCATAATTGTGAAAGTCAGAGACATGGAATGGGGTAAGCAAGATCCTGCAAACCACCAGGGCTAACCAACAACACTGATTTTCTGTTCTTACAAATGAATGTACCATATAAAATCTTACAGTCATTTCATCAATCCCACGTGAGTCCTCTTCTCCTCATGATCTTTAGCTTTTCATATTTCCCTTCTTTTTATCTAGATCTCAAGGTTTCTTGACTCAAACACCAACTCCTAACATTCTTCAAAGTGAACTCAGTTTGGGATCTATAGACCTAAACCCCACAGTCCCAGGTTTTGCCCCTATAATAAGTCTGGCATTTTCAAAGCTTCAGGCTGCCTGCTCCCCGCATGCATGCTAGGTCCTAAAAAGTGGGAAAGGATGACTAAAAAGTAGAGGAAGGGAACCGAGGTATTCAAGCCCATTTCTTCCCTCAAACTCAACTAATAAAAGGAATCATCTCTCCTTCCCCGGGAAGAAGTAAGAGAATGCAAAGCGTATAACATTTACTGTAGCTTACTGATGTCCCTCAGCATGAAAACATGAAGCAAAAAGAAATGAGACTCAATATTCATACCCCTAAAATGTAAATCCGTGTTCTTTGGCTTAGATTTTGCACTTCTTACTTTCATATAAGAAAATTACATCTTAAAAAATTATAACAGTTTTTTTCTCTTTGCTTTTCTGTCACTTAACCAAGAAGTAACTGTAAAATACTGTATTTCAATATTTGACACCTACAAGCATAAGCCTTACTAACTCTTTTTAACTTGGAATGCTGTTGATAAGCCATTTATTTATTTGATGATTTATTCAACAACTATTTGGAATACTTGGAAGGCGTACATGCAAGGTCAAACACCGTGAAATTATAAAAATAAATTAGAAATGATTCTAGCTTTAAGGAAGATATAATTTGGTAAGGAAAGTAAGATATGAAATGACTGTAAAGTACCATATCAAGTGATCAGCAGAAGAAAATATTAAAAATAATCCTCTGGGTCATTTTACCGTCCGTGATATGAGGCAGACAGACAGTTGCTGTGGGTGTCATCAAAGCAGTGGACAAGAAGGCTGCTGGAGCTGGCAAGGTCACCAAGTCTGCCCAGAAAGCTCAGAAGGCTAAATGAATATTATCCTCATTACCTGCCACCCCAGTCTTCATCAGTGGTGGAAGAATGGTCTCAGAACTGTTTGTTTCAACTGGCCATTTAAGTTTAATAGTAAAAGACTGGTTAATGATAACAATACATCAGAAAACTTTCAGAAGGAAAGCAGAATGTTTTGTGGACCTTTTTTTTTTTTTTGCGTGTGGCAGTTTTAAGTTATTAGTTTTTGAAATCAATACTTTTCAATGGAGACAACTTGACTAAAATCTGTCACAGAATTTTGAGACCCATTAAAACAAAGTTTAATGAGAAAAAAAAGTAATAATCAATTGCTATGGGAGAGCCAAATAAAAAGCATTCTCCCATCTTAGAGCATCAGAAGAAGACCCGTAAAGGAGAAAGCAGATGAACTTGGCTTTTATGGAGTATGTATTTGTACCCTAGAGGAGAGACTCACATCCAAGATGAAGGAAGGCATCACATTTTTCATGCAGTGAACAATTCTATGCACTGTTCTAAAGGCATAACCAAAACAGGATCTATCCTCATGGATTTTTCTTGCAAGTAGAAGAAACAAACAATGAAGGAATTTAGACATAATATAACATTACAAAGGGATGTTACTATAGAGAAGAGATGAATAGATTAGTGTCATTTTAGTAAGATTTTTTGGCAGGGCTCGGTGGCTCAACCCGTAATCCAGCACTTTGGGAGGCTGAGGTGAGTGGACTGCCTGAGCCCGCGGGTTTGAGACCCGCCTGGGCAACTTGGTGAGAGCTCATCTCTACAACAAATCAAAAATTAGGCATGGTAGCGCACACCTGTAGTTTCAGCTACTTGGAAGGCTGAGATGGAAGGATCGCTGGAGCCCAGCAGGTCGAGGCTACAGTGGCCGGGAGTGGCCACTGCACTCCCATCTGAGTGACAGAGTGAGACTCCAACTCAAAAAAAAAAAAAAATGATTTTTAAAAAGATTTTTCCAGGGTGAACTTTCACTAGAAATAGGAATGAACTTGTTCACATCTAAATTAATGTAAAATATATGTGTTCATGGTATATGAATTCTTTTTATGGTTTATTTGCAGTATGCAGTAAAGTCCTGTAGTTCAAAAACATAAAAATTATCAAAAAGGTAAATAGTGGAAATCTCCCTCCTACCCCTGTTCCCTAACCTCACAGTTAATATCTCTTCTTACTGGTTAAGAAACTGTAGAAAAGTATTTCAGTTAGAGGAAATAGAGATTTAAAAAGCCCTGGGGCCAATGTGTTTGGGGTATGTTTGGGAAAATGTAGGAAATGGAGCAAAAAGAATGACAGGAAATGATGTTAGAGAAGCCAGATCCTGTAGGGCCTGTGAGCTATGAAAAGACATTGGGATCCGTTTAAATATGGGGGATGACATTAGTGAGTTTGAAGCACTTCAGTGAGATGATTTGATTTGCATTTCTTAAAAGTTCACCCTAGCAGTATGTAAAAATAGATAAAAGGACAGACAAGGAGCAACTGGGAGGCCAGATAGGGGACTATTGAAGGAGTCCTAGTACAAAACAAATAGAACTTCGATGAGGGTAAAGCTGGAGAGAATGGAATATTTTTTGTCCCTTCTGTCAATTTAGGGATCCCCTTCAGGCAGTAATTAGCTGTATAACAATGGAATCAAGAAACAGCTGGAGAAAGCTGTTTTTTGGTTCATTCAAATTCATGATCCAATTTTTCTTTTTCTGGAACTTTCCCCATGCATGTCAAAGCCATATGATTGCTGTTCCTGAACGTGTTGAGTCTGTCATTTAGAATAAGTGATTTCTCAAGTTAGAGGATTTAGTAAGTGGGTGTTATATACAGGGAATATGTTTCATGGAGACTTCAAATCTGATTATATGCAATAATTATCTGTTGTTTATTGTGTTGATTATCTACTTGTTATATTCTTTAGACTGTGAGTCAACACACTTTTTAAAATTTTATGAATATTAAAAAATAATCCAGCCGGGCTCAGTGGCTCAGCCTGTAATCCCACACCTTTGGGAGGCTGAGGTGAGTGAATTGCCTGAGTCCACGGGTTCGAGACCCGCCTGGGCGGGCGAGACCTCATCTCTACAATAAATCAAAAAAATTAGCCGGGCGTAGTAGCGCACGCCTGTAGTTCCAGCTACTTGGAAGGCTGAGGCGGAAGGATTGCCAGAGCCCAGCAGGTCGAGGCTGAGGTGGCTGGGAGCGGCCACTGCACTCCAGTCTGGCGACAGTGAGACTCCACTCAAAAAAACAAAAAATAATAAAAAAAATAATAATCCATAGAGTTTTGTTAAAATTAATTGCCCAATTTTCAGTAATGTTATCTTCACTGATGTCTGTATTTCTCTGTATATTCTTTAGAGTAGGCATGGTTATAAAGTTAAATTGAGAAACTAAAGATCATTACTTTTTCTGAGGTGTTTGAATAATTGAGTTGGCCCCTTAAGCAGATTGTATGATATTGCTTTTCAGATAGAGGACTTTTTGTCAAAATGTATCATCTCTCAAAGGAGAAGATAGCTGCAAAGCTTGTGAGTTATACTATAAGAATGTAATTTGTTTGCTCAACAAAGCATGGCAGCTAAACCAATAGAATTTTTTTGTTGCATTGACTTCCTCAGTAGATCATGTTGAGGAGGAGTGTAGATTACTCAATGTTCTGAGCAATGTAGATTACTAAAATGAATTAAAATGCAATTTCTTTTTCCCCTAGATATTTTTAAATGCAGATACAATCCGGCTGGGAAATCTACCAACCGGCTCCTTTTCATCATCTTCACCCAGCTCCTCAAGTTCTCGACAGACAGTGTATGAACTCTGCGTCTGCCCCAATGGCAAACTTTACCTTTCCCCAGCAGGAGTAGGTTCCACTTGTCAGTCCAGTAGCAACATCTGCTTGTGGAACTGAAGTGACTGATTTCTCCTCACACCAGAATAGCCTTTTGTTCCTGTCCGTCTGCTTCACAGTTCTGCTCGGTTTCCCTTGTGATCAGTCCAGAGCTTCTTCGAATGGTCCATAGAGCAACTTCTTCCCGTGTGAGCAGGGATTCACAGCCACCTTCTCTTGTGATTTACTGCACTGCTCAACACAGAGAGTGTGAGTGACACAGCAGTGGAAAAGTCATCTTCAGCAGGAAAACTGGATCATAACTTTTGCTCAAAAGGGAGAATAACATAGGTGCCTTTGCTACGTGAAGTGAAGCACAGAGTTTTAGATTTTTGCAGGACCTGGATATGAACTGCACATACACACATTACATAAATGAAATTCCCAGTATCCAATGGCAAGATGAAATGGTTAACCCTGTAAGAAAACTTATTCTACAGTCTGAAAGCACAATTTTCCATTCATCTTTTTGGATGTAAACTTTTATCCCCAAATTTTAAAATTTTGAAGCATTATATAATGCTTGCTTTACTAAAAAATAAATTCAATATATGGTTTTTAACAAAACAAAACAATATAAAATCCCTCCCTGAGTTTTCTTTGTTTCTTTAACTTCAATGTGTTGTTACTCTTTGTCTAAGTCTAGAATTTTGTACATTAGATAATTTTGACAGCACTCAGCAATATAATCTTTACAGAATTAACAAAATGCCATTATAGTATCATTTGTCAGATCTGGATGGCCTTATATAGTATTTACTTGGCTACTGCATGTGACGTATTTGCTTTTAACAAAACATCTAATTTATTGCAATATAAGATAGAATTAAGAAGGACATATTGATGGTGTGACATCCACAGACCATTTCTTTAAAAATTCACATGCTACCCTTTACACCTACATTTTATCAGTACATTTTTTGTTTGCTTCATTCACTTTATACTTGATTCTGACTGCTAAAATTCAAACATCCTCTAAATAAATAAATACTAATGTGATGCATAATGCTGAGAATAAATTCACTTCCACTGGGATATCATCTTCAGAATCATTCTCCATTTATTTTTTATTGGAGGTCAAGACTTTAGGAGGCTAGAAATTAAATTTAAGATTCTTGACTGAACAGTAATAAAGACAAATGGTAATAAACATTGAAAATGTATTTACTGCACTAAGTTCATATTTTAAGAAACGAAGTCACGTTTCTATTTAGCTGCTGACTAGTTGCTTTAGACTGTTAAACTACCCTGACATCAGAAATCATAACTCTTTGCATTCTCCCCGGCTTACTTTTACAGATTAGTTCTTAATAAATAACTCCAGTGCACTATGGATTCATTTCCACAATACATTTTGACTCAAATTTTGGAAATTTGCAGAATCCAAGAATCTAAAACTATATTAAATATTTTCTATTATGGGAAGATGAGTTGATTACTATAAGGTAAGTCCTCAATAGTCACGTGTCGATCAATATTTTTTTCCTCTGGGCACACTATTCACAGATGTGTTGAAGTTTCGTTTAGGGATTTAATAGCCACAGAACCTTTGGAGTTCAGGTCTCTACAGCTCAGAGTTAAGTGAGAGATTAGAACTTGTTTACAAAATTGTTTTGAAAATAGGAAGAGTGGATAATGCAAGCAGAAAATAAAACCACTTGACCAAAATTAACTTATTTGGATAACTCACCATGTCAAATAATTTAATGATCTGCATTTCACTGTACTCAGCAGAAGGGTTTGAGACCTAATTCACTTTTATTATTTTTAACATAAAACAACTTTTGTTTGAGGGTTATTATATAAATCTTTAAATCAATATTGAAATAACAATTAAGATATACTTGTGCTTTAAATGTCATCTCATAACGCAAGAGTTTAATTTCCATTGAAATAACATTAAAATTTAATGTGTAACATTCTTATTAATCTTTGCAAAATACTCAAAGTATAACACAAGAAATTTTGAGAAATTATGGGTGCTAATCTCTATACTATGGACTTTTAAGAAAAGCACTATGAATTAATTAGAGACATATTCAAGTTCTCATATCCCTAAATTAAAACAATTAGGAAGTTTCTTAGTCAAATAGGAAGAATTCTTTTGATTAGTAATTGACCCTGTTTCTAATCTCTGCTGTCTTCTAGTAATCGATTGAGTTGATTTAGGCAGCCTGGGAATCTCTCCAGGTTTCAGATTAGTAAACTTTTCAACAAAAGTATTGAATCAAAGGGTCTCTTGAGCTTTCTTCCAATTCTAAAATGTTCTAATTTAAAGACAAATATTATAGAAGGCAGAAGAGACTACTAAAAATTTAAATTATATGTCATAAGAGAATAAAAAATAAGAATGAAGAGAAAAAATATAAAACCAATTCGGGTGAAGAACTGTCAATTTTTGATTCAAATATATTTTGAAAAATATAGAAAAATACAAAAGCAATATATAAGTTTGAATGATTTAGACTATGTCCATGTGATATAAGAATATCTGTTTAATTTAGTGAAAAAATAGTGATATAAATGGTTTTTCTATTCAACACTAAAAAATTGGTGTAAATCACATGACTGGCCATTTCAGATTCCTCAAAAATCTAAGTGGAGACCCAGCCTCAGAGTTCAAGTTTCTCGTGAAGTCTTGGAAGAGTGCCCCTAAAAGTCCTTGGTTTTCATAATTTTTTAAAACTTTGGTTCTTTTTTTATACAGAGGTTTCTTAATTGCAGCCTTTCAAGCAGATTCATTACCTGTTTTCCCAGTACCATTTTTACATTATGATATATATAAATATAGTGCAGTTTACTTATATGATGTAAATTTCATCTTTATAAATGACCATCAGAAAATAATTCCTCTAAAGTGTATTACATAGACAGACCCAGCTCAGCTATCTTATTACCCATATGTTAATAACTTCATACTCTATTTAGCTCAGGAAGAAAGGAAGGAAGAAAAGACGAAAGTTAGTTGGTAGTATTCTCAGCATTTCAGTTCTTTGCTAGAAATTAATAAACTAAGATGTACCTGAGTTCAGTTCTTGGGGTCAAAAAGAGAGATATAAAGAGGACACTTTTTTGTGCCCTTATGATATTTTAATAAACATTTCAAAAAACAACAAACTTCCAAATTTCCTGGTTCTTTTGCTCAATACCTCCAAAATTCATATCCTGTACTTATTATTCCTATTTTTCTTATTTTGTTATGAACCATATGCTTTATTATCTTGCACATAATTATTTATCTGAGGTTTAAGATACTTATACGTTTCAAGTTTTACTGTAACTTAGAAATCTTATATTACTGTACCTTAAATGCTGATAAATTAAAACAGGAGTTTCAATTTTAGTTATGTTCCTAGCTAGTCATGTAAACTTCCTTAGGAAGTACATTTAATTTTCTTGGCCACAGTTTACTTGTCTGTAAGAAGGATATGTCAACTATAACTTTTCTTTGCTCACTTTCATCTCTAAATTTATCTGATTCACATAAGAAAAGACTTAGCAATATTGGGTTCAGTAACCTAGTCTGAACTAGCATTTGTAATTTCCTTCTGCACCTTAAAAAGCTGATTATAAATGTGAATATGCAAATCATTGAAGCATCCTACTTCCTGTACTCCCTTTTTGCTTTAACCATTTGAACAATTAAAGTCCCTAAGGGAAAATCATGCTTATTTGACAAGATTCAGTAATCTGGTTGATATTAAAAAAGAAAATAATTCACTTGGATCTTATTCAGAATGACTATTTGGAAAATTAATAGAGATATTTACAAAATATAAGCATTCTGTTGATCTTTCTATTGTTACTTATCTCCATCAGGCAAAAAATCATTGATCTTTTGAAGAAAAAAGTAATGTGGTCAGAGAGGTCAACTGCTGAATTGTTTATATAATACATTATGCCACTCAAAATTCCTGTGTTCTACTATCTGAATGACTAAATTGGACAGTGCCTCATTTTACAAAAATGGCATTTGACATAATAAAACTAAAGAGTTATGTCATCACAAACATGATATCTCTGTATGAGGCAGCAATAGCCTGGAAAGTGTCTAAAGCATATAAAAGTTATATTATACAGGATAATGATAACATCATAATATTACATTATAAAAATAGTTGAAAGTATTTAATGACCAAATTTTCTATATAAACATCAAAGCCAAATTCATATTTGAGTTTTATATGAGCGAGGTCTTGTCTTATTCTTCCAGTAGCTTTGATTTAATTAGAATTGTTCATGTGATCACATTTAAAAATACATGGAGAAATTATTTGTATTATGTACTGGTGTATATTATAGTAATGACTGTTGCAAAATATCATTATCACAAAGTAAAGTAATATTGTATTGTTATTCTTTTTAAACAATCATAAGCTAATGAATAACCTCATTGAACACTGTTACTTATATTGTTTTACACTACAGTTCATTCATTGTTTAAATGTCAAAGACCAAAGACTGGGATTTCTATTGTATTTAACTCTAAAACATTGCTGCTTCTACTAATTTATTCAAGTAAATAGGGAGACATCATTAAAGCATAAGGTAGTAAACATCCACCTTGCAGGATTCTGAGCTATAGACATTAATTAATGCTTTTGTTTTAGAAAGAAAATTTCATTAGTGTGGTCCACTTCTCTTTCATATATTCATAATGAACTCTTCCACATTCACGAAATCAGTATGTAAAGACCATATTCCAAAATGAACCCAGGATGGATTTATTCAGCTAAGTGTAAATTTTCACTGCTTGCTAAAAATTATTTGAAGAATATAATTCATTTGAAATACATTTAGAACCAGAGGGCTATTTTTTAAGTGTTCATTGATGTGGCTCCACTCTTTGAGAAAGTCAACAAAAAACATTAAAGAACATGAGGTATAATGAACTGTGATTCTTTTTGTTTTTTGGGGGTTTTTTTAGTCTTAATATCTCATTTGTTTAAATATTTATAAATAAAAGCCAAACAGGGTTAAAGATGTGCAAGGACATTCATTAACAATGAAGATGTGTAATT